AGCGGTGGCGTAGTCGAACTGGCTGGTGAGATCGGTCTATTGCGTGGTACTGCCGGCCCTCAATCTTATTTTGATTTCACCTGGACAAATATGTTATTAAGTTTTCATTAACACCAATGGCCTAAACAACAGGGTATATAAGAATATTTTGGATTCAAAGCTAGTCGCAATCAAATCAGCAAAGAACGAAAGTGGTCTTAGTGGGCACTTTCGTGAACTCTCAGTTCTTTCCCATAATGTAAGAGACAATTGTTTGTGGTAAGTAGAAGGCGTCAGCGTGAATATTCACGAGAAGCGTGCATTTCTTCGTCAAGGAGGAAAAGGGGGGGGGGGGGGTGTTCCGATTAGCTCGATGCTTATTGGCGGAGCCAGGTGATGACGTCACACCCTTAGCTCGACGCTGATTCAGGTTTGACGTCGCGCACGTTGTCATGCTCTCTCCACGCTGATTGGCTGGTAATTGCGCAATAACTCACGCGCCACCGCTCGCCCGCCAGACTGTGGTTGGGTGTCGTCGGAGAAACATCGGCGGCTATAAAGACAGAGAGCCAGGGGTTTAAAACCTGAGTTAGCGCCGGTATCTCCATGTCAGAAATTTTTATCGAGTGTATATGCCACGCGTTAAGCCAGTCGCGAAACGAAATGATGAAGAGCACGGACAGCGTAGACGCTATTCCCAGAGGAATCGGACTGAAAAAGCACAGCAAATTCCTGAGCAATTGTGTTGAGCGAGGATCACCAAAATATTGTCATTGCATATATGTCACACGGTTCATGTGCAACACAATTGCCCCGTAATTCGCTACAAAATGTTATTCCTTGTGTCGAAAGAATGAACATCTTGACAAATCGCGAGGTATAAATTAGTAAGCTTTAAACTAAAAGCTCAATGTACGGATGTCTACCATTTCAATTTTAACACGAAGATGTAAAAGCAAACCAGGTGCCCATGAAATCAATCTCTTTCCAATCGAAGGCATTGCCTTAAATAAACAAGCAAAAAAGATATATAACAGACTTTTATGTTTTCAAGGTAAATACTGCAACAGAGAGGAATGCTTTACTACCAATATGAGGAGGACAGTTACTGCGGCATTCCTTCAGCTTTTTGAGGAATACAATATAAATCCTCTTTGAGGCATGTTCATAGCGAGCACAGCCCAGCAGATGTGCAGTTACAACTCGAGATTTTTCACCGCCAGCAAGCACTTCAAAAGAACTTGTTGTTGGGCTAGTTGGTGGTGACTGTATTGTACCATGGTTAAAAGCGCTAAAAAAAAAGACGCACACAACATAGAAGACAAACACGGGCGCCACTCACAACTGTATTGGGAAAGGAAGATGGAAGTAGATATATATATATAAATCTGATACACTTATCGTCACCCAGGCTACTCATGCGCGAGATACAAGAGCATAAACACGTTTACCCCCCCCCCCCCCCCCCCCCATCCCCCTATGTATTTATCGAAAAAACGAATCTCAGCATTATACAATGCTATTGGCGTGTCGCTGACGCCCTTGGGTCCCCTCTTCCTGATAAAATATGCCTCTTGCAGTTCGCATGCCCTTGGTATTCTGCTTCTACCGAGAATGTTGGTATCACCGAATCGTGGCTCGCATTCGCAGGCCCTTCAGTGAGCGGGCAAATGTGCCCCGTCATTGGTCTTTAAATTTTGCGCGTGCTCTCTTAAACAGTCATTTTTAGCAACAATAGATCAGACGCTTGAGTAAGTACTCAATGATTTTAATGTTTTTAAAGGTTTTAGATACGTAGACGACTTTTTGATTGTTTTTAGAAATCAAACTTCTTTGATGTAGCAACATGGGGTGGTCTCAGTTTTAGATGCTTTTAGACGACATTGTAAGGGCCTAACATTTTACACGTGAACTCCCTAACCAGGATCACCTACAGTTTTTAGACTTGAGCTTGAAGTTGCAGGAGGGACACGTGTGTTGGATGTATTCCCCACGATCCCAAAAAACGCTCCTGCCATATGACTCTGCGCATTCTAAGGTGGTAAAAAATCCGCAAAATATAAAGAGAAATGACGGGGCACATTTGCCCGCGCACTGTAGGGCCTGCAAATGCGAGCCACGCTTCGGTGACAACGAAATTCTCGGTAGAAGCGAGAATTCAAAAAGCACGCGAACTGCAAGAGGCTTATCTTATCAAGAGGGGACCCCAGTGCGTCAGCGACAAGTCAATATCATTGTAAAATGTTGAGATTCGTTGTTGTTTGTTTTTTTTTTCGATAAATACGTGTAAACGGGTTTATGCTCTTGTATCTCGCGCATGAGTAGCCTGGGTGACGATAAGTGTATCAGATATATATACATATGTACTTCCATCTTCTTTTCCCAATATAGTTGTGAGTAGCGCCCGTGTTTGTCTTCTATCTTGTGTACTGTCGTGAGCAAAAGTCTGGATAACACGGGAGCGCCGACCGAATTGCATCGCCGCGCTCCCTGACGGCGCGGCGCCTGGTGCCGAGACCCGCGCAATGCGCACGCGCGTCCTTTCTTATCTGCTGGCCCACTCGTTCGCTCGCTTCAACGCGATGCGCTCCTGAGTGATTAAATGGGCGCTAGGTGCCGCCCCGGGAACCAAGATTCCGAGAGACTCGCGGTTGAACGGGCCAAGCGTATAGCAGAAGCCAACGGAGCCCTGGACTAAGGGCACCGCCCAAGAACGAAGCAACGACCTCACTTCTTAAATAAAGTTTTTCTCTCTCTCTCTCTCTCTCCGCGCCACGCGCCGTTCGCGGATATCTTTCCCGCGACTCGGCGACGTGTTAAAAACTGTCGCTTCCCTCCATTCGTTATTTTTAAGCTTCTCATCCTAAATTTGCCCCGGCTACAATGCAAACAGCTGCTGCTCAATTTATTATGCACGCGTTGTAAAGGGTCGAGAAGTCAATAAAACAACGAGAAAAAAATACATGGTACTGGCCACAAATTCTCAGCATAGTTGTTCGCGAAGTGACCTTATAATGTTCTGTTTGACATCAGCTGTGATGACTTGTACCGGAAGCCATAAAATAAAGCGGCTATGCAACGATTTCCGGAGAATGGCCAAATAATTATAGGAGTTGTTCTCCAACACTTCTAAAGTAAAGAACAGAAAAGATATTTAGTCTGTGTGCCCCAAATTATAATTTTAAATAATAGCAAGGATTCAAGTTTCCGGCACCCCTCAACTCTCTAAATAACATGCTCAGTGACGTGATCAGTGACGCCGACGTAAGGATGCACCGGTTTCCGTGCGCTCTCCCCCAAGGATGTTTACTCTTTCTCTCGCTACTGCTTTTCGTGAGGCGTTGAGCTGCAGCGATCCCGGCGTCGCCGCCACGGCGCGTTTCCCGTGGCCGCCGCGCACGGCTGCAGAGGGGGAAATATTTCCATTTCTGCTTTGCGATTACACAACAGAATTGCAACATTTTGCAGGAAAGTGATGCTTTTTCGATTGTTTCTGACGCTATCAACAATATAAAGATTACAAGCCACCCAAACTCAACCAGCGCCTCTTTTTCCTACCGTTTTGTTTCTTGTGTTTTCTTGGCAGGGGGGTTCAATAAAGATTTCGTTCTTATTTGGCGTTTTCTTTTTGCTCGTCATTCACCACTTTACCACGCGTGCATGATAACTCGAAAGGAAGCCCAAGGCTGCCTCGAGTACGCGAATACAAGTTCTACAATTCATTGCGGCTGCATCAACGGACAGTTTTTAACGCGCCGCCGAGTCGCGGGAAAGATATGCGCGAACGGCGCGTGCCGCGGAGCACCCGAGCTCGTCCAGAGCGGTGAGCGAGGCTTTCGGAATCTTGGTTCCTGGGGCGGCACCTAGCGCCCATTTAATCGCACAGAAGCGCATCGCGTTGAAGCGAGCGAACGAGTGGGCACGCAGATAAGAAAGGACGCGCGTGCGCATTGCGCGGGTCTCGGCACCAGGCGCCACGCCGTCAGGGAGCGCGGCGATGCAATTCGGTCGGCGCTCCCGTGTTATCCAGACTTTTGCTCACGACAGTACGTATTTTTTTAGCGCTTTTAACCATGGCTCAATACAGCAAGCGCTTCGCCGAAGGAAGGAACACACCGCGGACGCTGCAGGATCTAGAGTACAAACGCTGGCAGCTGTCGCTGACTCGGTTTCCGTCGTTGTTTTATTCTGGAGTGCATATCTGGGAACACCGGTTCGCTGGCATTCGCATGATCAAAAACGATTTCGCTCTACATCTCCCTAGAGTATCAAACAACGCTATTATGACCTACAACTGAAATATTTAGTTTTTTTGTTTTTTTTTAAAGTAAAATGGGCTCCTGTGTCAGGTACGCGTTTTATTTTGAGGCTTGAATCGCAAGCTTTGGATTCACTAATTTCTTGATTTTCATTTTTTTTTATTAAATTGTAACAAAATATGCATTTAAAAAAAATCAATTTCAAATAATATAATTATAATTGCGAAAAAAATATGCAAAATTATACAATTATTTGTACTATTAGAGCATCTAATAATATTTTTGCAAGAAGAACACCAAAGCTTGAAATTTTCTCAATAATATAAATGCAATCTTAAACATATTGTATAACCGGCACCCGAAAACACACGCCAAGCATGCCCTTCAGCAATAACTGAATGACCGCTGTAATGACCAGGCTAGCACATATACACGCACAGGCACACGCACAAAAGCAGGTGCATACCCAAATGTAATATTTCTATTCTTCATGAGTTCCACAAAGCAATCAAGAGTGACCCTTTTTTGGATATTGTCGGAGCTATTAGAGTGGTTCTACGGATCTTTCTATCACTGCGAAAAAGGCGAATTAGTATAATCAATAGGTAGATGAATGAATTACCTAAAAGATTAATGCCATGCTTTTCATTCGTGCGTTAAAATCTCGTGGCATTTCTAATTTTGAAAGAGTAAAAACGAATGCAAGCTGGTGACCGACTTCTGTACTTTGACCCGAGACAATGTAAAAATAAAATGACGTACGTACGAACACGCCTTCTTGGGAGACCCGCTGCAAAAACATGTAGCACCCTCCGCGTCGTCGTCAAACGATTGATGGGAACGCCCTGTATAAAACCGGCTATAGACTTTTGAAAAAAAAATAGCCTTCTGAGCGCTGCATCTATGTCTGCTGGGCTGTGGAAGGCATTCTGAGCATGCGCTGTTGCTCTGTCGTGCGGCATATCAGACGCTGCGCACGCGCCCCAGCTCAGTCAAACTCAGCATTTTTTGCCCGGGTGATAAGCGATGGAACGGTTTATAGCACGCAATGAAGGCGACACTGGGGGCGACGAAGGAAAGACGCTGCAGGCTAGCAACTGCACTACTCTCTCTCGTTCTTTCTCGCTCGCTCTCTTTCTCTCTCTTGAGTATCACGTGGTGCACGATGCCAGACAGCCAGAGTAAGGAGGATCATACAAGGCGTTCCATAATTCCTTCGCGCGCGGCCTCCTGGGGTTTTGCGAAAAGTGTATTGAGACACCGTTTTTATGGCCTGTATGTCATCCTTGTCTCGGGTTAAAGTATGAAATTTTTAATGTATTTTCGCGCAATTAATATTGTTCCTGTTTCGTCAAGTGTAAAACAATATCTGACGTGCGTTTCTTTTGTTTGTATGTTTCTTAAGCTATGTCACCTAGTACCCTGGCACCGCAGCTTCACACTCCAATGGCCTGAAGTTTGTACTGGATTCAACAATGAGATACTAGGGTAGATGGCAGAAAGAACTTAGAAAAGGAATCCTTTTCAAGCCTCAGAGTAGTAGCCGACGTCATGCTTAGAGACTTGGCTTCTTTGTGGACTTATCTTAGTTGACGCTAAGCCACCTAGAAAAATATCGGCTGCAAATCTGAGGGCTCATGCAGGCTCCTTATAAAAAAAATAAAAAAAATCTTTATAAAAAACGAAAGAGGGAAAGGGAGCGGAAGTGCCACAGCACAGTCGGAATCAAGCTTACGATCACCCGTCCAGCCGAACGTTGGATCGCATTGAATCGCTAATCACTCTTCAGCCTGACATCCTTAAATGGTAAAACACAAAGAAGAAACCAACGGACCGCGATGCCGAACAAAGGAAGTCTCCATCTTATAGGTCAGTGTCGACGGAGACGAGAATCGCTGCACCCTTCGTGTTCTGCTTGATGGGATTGAGAGCACGCCATTGGCAGGGCGGAGCAGTGACCGCGAACAGAGGGAAGCTCCGCGCGTGCGTTTGAATATTAATTTAAAAATAAAGCACTTAGATTCAATGCACGCCGTCGTATGGAGGGGAGGGCGTTCAACGTCGTCTTGCGTCAAGCGCCATACAACGTGTTCGAAGTCTAATCTTGTTTAATGAAAGTCGATAAATGGAAGGTCATAGCGAAGAACGCCTTTCCAGCAACTTCTGCTAGACATTCCGGGAGTCCTCCGAGTAGGTAAGGCACTTTGCAACAGAAACAAATCGAAAAAAGATCAAATATAAAAAGCGAGTTTTTCTTTTTTTTCGACAACACTTATGCAAAATGATGTCATGCCTTTGAAAAAAATACTATGTATTGTGTGTAGGCGGTGTGCCATGGAACACAACTTTTTAACATTCACATCTTATGCGAATTATGTAGTTTGCAACGTGCTCATATTGAAATGGCTGTCAATTCACACTATAGTCAGCGATAACTTCATAAACGCAGGGCGTTATTGGATACGATGCCGGCTGTATGATTCGTAATTTCGCGTCCTTAGCGACTGGTTCCGGTATTGGCTGCGAAACAAAAAGGATATGCTAAGAACTGACCATGCCCTGCGTTCCTTACGCTGTAAGGTGACTCGAGATTCTCAGAAGCTCGGCAGGTACAATTTAGCCTCGCTATTTTATTTTATTTTTATTTGCAGAAAATCTTGCAGCGTCGAAGCATTGGAGCAGGCGTGCGGCTTACAATCCCGTTAAATCACAAAAAGCACGCTACGAAAGCTACAAACGTAGCTTTGTACGGAAAATCACGCTACAAACGAAACCTAGAAAACAATTTGCTTTTTAGACACCGAAAGCTTAAGAGACGGAAGGCGTGGCTTGTCATGCTAACACCTTCCACTTCACGATTCACTTGGCGCTGCTAATTCCAATAACGAAGGTCGGCAACAAGCGGCCCGCGGGATCCGGCCCGCGAGGCGATGTGATAATACGGCCCCTGGCGCGCTACCAGAAAGCAGCCCCACCCCTCCACCCACTAACACACACACACACACATACACAAACAAACACACGCACTCTCTCTCTCTCTCTTTTAATGTCGAGTACTAATTGGCGCAAGTTGGTTGGTTGTAAACCTCATGTTATAAGTCGTATTAATTCGGGAACAGCACACCAAGCGGTTAGTTCTCTATGCACGTCTCAAGATACAGCGTTCAGCACAGTGCATAGCCGTTCATTGTACGTCATTTCGTTCATGTTCAGAAGCAGTTGTTTCTGTTGTGTTTCTATTATCAGGTGCTGAATACGTGTTCTCTTTATTCAATTAAAAGTGACAAAACTGTTCAATGGTTACTCATGTGAATGCAAGCTAGATGAGTTATATACGCAAAGATGTTCTTGGTAAAATCACAGCATAGTGAACAGCTGCTGAACGTTTACAGCTGCCACTTTATAGCTAGGGCCCATTCAAGTTGCTCTTGTATCAGCTTTTTGCCCTAGCTGCCACCCTTCTTGTAGGAAGAAAATAAAGCATTCATTAATTTATTACATGCGGTAAAGTTTGTTCAGGATATTTTAGAGTGTAATACGCAACCAGTAACAAGTGCAATCTATTCATATTGTGAACGTGAAAATTTACGGGTGCAATCGCCACGCAATTCGTTTAATAAATAAAGATTAAAAAAAAAACAAAAAAAAAAAAAAACGTTACCAGCGGCGTTCCGAAGACCGCTCTAATAGCCGCTTCCCCTGCCAAATGCCGAGAGTTCCGCGCAAGCGGTAGTCGAACGGTCGGCCTCCGTAAGCGATCGGTCACTTGATGCACTCCAGTGGCACGCGCTGCGAAGCAAATCGAGCGTAACGCTCCCAGCGCCACCGCTTTCAGAGCCTCTGCTCTCCCTTTTTAACAGTTTGGGTTCCCATCGCCATCTTGCTAAAAACATAAACTTCGAATCGGAAGCACCCTAGATTGTTTACTACTTGATTAACGGCGACCCGACGTTAAGACAATTTATTTTTCCTTACAGTTATATAAAGCCGATGAAGACAACTGGAAGTACTTGCACGAGCCGTAGTATGCAATTAAGCAATGCCCAACGCGTACGCTGTGAAGAGATAGTCATCTCCGAAGGCGACTGCCGTCCGCGGAGTATTTGGCGCATTTTACTTCAATTATTCCAATTACATTAGAAAGACCACTCAGCAAACAAACGACATACAGCTCTTCATCCGAATAGGCGCGCACAACGTCTTCTACGTAACGCGATATATTGGGCCTCTTCGCTGGCAATGTGAACGGCTCGGCAAACAGTTTACTGAGAACGGCTGCCTCGTCGTCACTCGAGCTGGAGCTAAGCTGGTATCTTCGTTATTTTCGTCACTGTCGCTGCTTCCGCTGTCGCTGCGTTTTATTAGAACCCCTAATGGTAACTGCAACGATGTCATCGACGCGGAATAGGACGGAAGCTCGGAATGCTCGGTCGAGCCGGTCCTGACGAAAGGAATGAAAGCAAGCACGGCAAGAGAGACCACCCAGCAATCGAAACAAAAAAGCCGCGAAAATCCTTCACTCCATCACGGGAACGTTGATAACGAATTTCGATGATTTTCTAAGTGAGAGCTAAAAAGAGTACAAATAAAATGTGTCTCTCTACCTGCACCACCAAACGGTATGCCAGGTTTCAACCAATTAAAAAGTAAATAAATAACGTATAATATGATCAAAAACGAAATTTTGATTTAAAAGCGAATCAACGTTGATAACGAAACGGAAATGTTGCTGGTGACTACAGATCGTTCTCCTCCGAAAAAGACTAAGGGGGTGTCCAAACAGGACACTACAAAACGCACGACTCCGACAAATCGTGAAAATTGAACCGGACGCGCCCGCTTCAATTTTCACGGTTTGTCGGAGTCGTGCGTTTTGTAGTGTCCTGTTTGAACTACTCCGGACCGCTCGACGCGCTACGCGACTTTCCCACGAATCGGTTGGAGCCGCTCGCGAGCGCCCCACCGACTCGAGATCTACAAGCGGCACATGGAGACATTGATCACATCTCGCGAAGGGAACAAGAATCCGCTCGACCAGCGCTCGCCGAGAACTCGCTATTTGCCATGGGAAGAGGCTATAAATCTTTCACCTCTACAACAAATTTTTGAACGGCGCGCTCATTGTTCGTGCAGCCGTTCCAGCTAGTGCGCTCAAAGCGCGTTTTAAGGCAAGGATTTTAGTAATTGCAGCATTCGCTCCTCTACTGCTTTTGAGCGAAACGCCTTTGGTGTGACGTCAAAATTACAACGTGGAATATGCAGAAGAAAACAATTTCTTTCCGAAAAAAAAAATATTTAGCAGATATATGCGAACTTCTACTACTGAAAGATAGAAAAAAGTACAAGTGTAACTGTTCGTGATATGATAACCTTTCCAAGATTTTTATCAGGCCAATGATTATATAAGTAAGCACTAGTGGAATCCGAATTCCCCGTTCCTCGCATTCCTGCCTATCAATATTAAAATACATACATTGCTTCATTGATTACTTCATAATCAATAAAATTATTTTATGCCATCAAAAGCTTTCCAGACGTCTTCGATTAAGGCTAAATTTAAAAAATAAATATATTAAACAGTTAAAAAGAATTACAAAATCAACCCTATAACGGAATCTGTACAAAACATTCGACAAGGGGTGTTATTTTTAGGCTTTACATATTCGTTTGGAAAGCTCTTAAAGCTACACTACTGCGGTTGTGCAGGTGAGATATACAAACAGGAGGACAAATTATAGAGGTCTAATCGTTCAGATAAGTTGATTGTTTGACTAAAATTGCCTACCTTTTTATAAGTGAAAATAAACATATGCTTCCAGTTTGAAAATCGCTGAGCCTCATCGGAACCACTGAGCAGGAAAAGGTGAGAAAAACAGAGCTTAGGAAGCGGGGTCGTTCTCAAACGTTGTTGACTATCCAGAGTTGTTGGCATTGTTGGCGTCATGTTCTACCAATCAGTGTTAAG